AAAGGCACACAGAGAAGGGGCTCCCCCAGTGATGCACACTTCCTGCTCTGTGCCAGGGCAAGAGAGAAGAAATATCCCAGTTTTGTTTAGGGTCCTTTTCTTTGGTTGGCAGCTGCCCAAAAATAGCATTTGCTCCAACTCCAGGCTTCATATGAACAGGTGAAGGTCTTGTGCTGGGAGACTTGCTGCCTGCCAGCTGCTGCTCAGAGGCTCCACACTTAGTCTGGGTGACTGCCGTGTTCAGCAACAAGAGTGAGAACACGCTCTTGTGAAATACATGGTATAGGTGAATTGAAATACTCGGGTGGAGGAAGCAAAACTGAGAAGGTAAAAATGGCGAGGGCTGAGAGATAACCCCTTATAAAACAAAAGCAAAAATCCTTAGAGAGGTACAACATGATAAACAGGAATATCCTGGCTGGTTTTGTTATTTATTACTCACATTACGGTACTGCTCAGGCATCTAAGCCTTAGTTAGGACTATTGCCCGGAGTCCTGTGGGGACAGGAGGCAGAGGTGATTCTGCTGCACCAAGGCACCCAAAAAGGGCAGTGAGGCTGCACACGGGTCCTTGCTGGCCTCCTGCATCTCAGCGCCATGTCCGTGCTGCACTGATGGACAGGGAGGAGACCTGCCCCATGCACATCCAAAGATGTCCAGAGTCCTCAAATTCCCCTTGGAGACCTGGGGAACCTGCAAGAGCACAGAAAAAGTAAAGAAATAATGTTCCGTTCCCAAAGGCAGGGAGAGGAGGTGTTTTAAAATGAATTTTGCTCTTCGGTCAGAAAGTGAGTTATTAGGACAATCTTCCCTTTGCTGGATCTTTGTTGCTTCTTGCTCTTGAATTTTAAGTTTCCCCATAGTAATGGGGATTGATGTGAAGCAACACCAGCTACGTAAGCAAGAAACACTTACTTAATCAATTTTAATAGTTGTTTGCATTTCCTCTTCTCAGTAGGTGTTCTTAAGGCTGATTCTCACTTGAGTTTGAAACAAAATACAATGATTTTCTTTACTAATTATGAGCTTTTTCACTAAATGCTGTATTTCATTTTACCAATGAAGTTCATCTGTAAGTACATATTTATTTAAGCAATACTGTGTCTCACAATACATTTCAGCCTTATTTTTTAAACTTTTATGTTAGTATAAGGTAAATGGCAGTTTTCCTATTTACCATATAAGAAATTTTTAAACACACGGTGGGTCAAGCTGCATTTGGATGGAAACTGAATTCCAATTAAAAAGGCCCAAAAATAGAATTTGTAAAGTGTTTTTAACAGTGTTTTAAATGAATGTGCTGGATACATATGGAAAATAATGTTTATCTAAACATGCTTTACATTTCAAACAAGTCAATAATGTAGCAAAATCATAGAATCACAGAATGCTTTGTGTTGGAAGGGACCTCAAAGACCATTTAACCAAGTTCCAGACTTCCAACCCCCTGCCATGGGCAGGGACACCCTCCACTAGACCAGGTTGCCCAAAGGCTCATCCAACCTGGCCTTGAACCCTTGCAGGGAGGGGGCATCCACAACCTCTCTGGGCAACCTGTGCCAGTGCCTCACCACCCTCAGAGAGAAGAAAAGACAGTATGGTTATTCCTGGTCCGCATGTCCTTTAAGATAGTAGCCATCTCTCATACCCCACTGTTTTCCATAGCTTGGAAGGACATAGTTGACTCCTGTCTTTCAGCTTCCAGTTGCTTTTTGGGTGAACTAGGTGTAAAATTGATCTGACTGAATAAAATGGAGAATATAATCTCTTTTCACACACTTATGAAACCACTATGCTAAACCAGCTCCAGTGCAATGAATTCCTGTCCCATGTGCTCGGTGACACATCTCCATACTTTCAGTGGCTTATCTTTATTCAAAGTGTCAGCAAGTACATATAACCATAAACAACATTTTATTTCATTTAAAGATTTCACTTTTGTAATAAAATTAAATATTTATCTAAATGATCGTGAAAAGACAATATTAGTGTTTGTAAATAGATGTTATAAGAATGTTATTCCATGGCATTGGCGAGCGGCAATAT